AATGGAATACAATAGAGCACTGAAAATTACATGAACATATAGGGATAATTTTGCAAACATAATACTGGGCAATATTATCCAGACCTAAAAGACTATCAAATCCATTATTCCAATTTTACATGAAATTTCATCTTTTTCTATAAGTATATATAAAGAAGGAGGAAAGTAATCTATGTGAGAAGTCAGAGCAGTGGTTACCTTTGAGAAAGAGAGGTTGTGAGTGGGAGCATGAGGGGGTCTCTGGAGTAATGTTAATATTTTGTTTGGAATCTTGGTGCTGGTTACACAGCCATCAGAATAACTAATTGTGATCATTCATCCGGCTGTTATGATTTTCACAAATTTCCATATATTTATTTAAAAACAGAGTTTAGAGTGAGAAGCACTGAAGACTAAGAGGCATATTTCATTGTATTAACAGGAAAATGAAGAGTGAAAAAAAATGAACTAAATATTTGATTGAAGAAGCTAGGAAATGGAAAAAGGAGGAGTAAAAAATAAGAATAAAAATGAAATTAATGAAAAATAATACATACAAAACAGAATGATGATGGCCAAAAATGTTATTTGAAGAGACTAAGAAATGCAACAAACCATGAGCACAATTGATAAGAAAGGATAGAAAGTAGAAATAAACAATACTAGGCATTAAACAGTGCACAGATCTAGTAATATAGTAGAGAATTTTTCTCAATCTCAAGAAAATCTTATGAACATCTGACATCAACATTTTCAACAGATAAGAAGACAATTTTCTAGAGAGGAAACATACACAAAATGGATCCAAGAAAAAACAAGAAAGCTCAAATATCCCAAATAAGAATCTGGATCAAAGTATGACCCCTAAAAAAACCCTGAGACACAATATTTATAGGTGAACCTAGTAAATTTTTAAGAAAACAACTATTATAGAAATCTTTCATGCTATAGAAAAGGTTGTAAAGCTACTTAGATGAGGCTATACTTATCTGATTGCCAAACTGGAAAAGGACAACATAAAATAAAGCATAAATGAAAGCTTGCTAAATAGAATATTATCTAACCAATAAAGCAAAATGCTAAAAGAATAATATATCATGATCAAATAGACTGTGTCTCAGGAATGCAAGGATGATTCAGCATCACAAGATTTAATGATATAATCAGAATGTTAATGAAGGAAATGAAAAATAACATAATCTTATAGGTACCAAAAAAGGATTTCATAAAATTGAACATTCATTAATGATTTGAAAACTCTTTACTTGAAAACCACTCAGAAAAATTTCTACAGTAAGATAAAGTGTTTCAATGTAAAAACAAATAGCAAGTATCCTTAACAGTGAAACAAGAGAAACATTCTCTTGTTTAAGGTAGAAAAACAGATACATCAGCAAACTCTCTCAGCATGATCTCAAGTGGTCCTTTCTTCTAATTTCCTAGTTTTTCCCCTCTACAAACAATCTGTTTTTACCTTAAACTTTGGACATGCTTACTCCATCCTACTTAGAATCCTCCAAATGTTCTGAAAGTCCCTGCATGATCTGGGACACCATCAACCCTTCCCCTGGCTTTCTCCTGTTCCTGGCTGGGTCTCAGAAAAGCCTCCACTCCTCCTCCTACCTGATGCTCTTTACACATAGGCAGCTCCCCTACCCCTTCAAGGCTGAGCTTAAATATGATCCTTTCAGTGAGGTCTCCTCTGGTAGTTGTTTAGGATAAAATTAGAGATTATTTCCTCTCAAGAAAACATATACTCTCTTCTCAAGAAAAACCTCTCCAAATGAAGCATACTGCTGATCAGGATTTATAAGTCTCTTCAAAATTCTACTCAAATCAGCCCCACCCCAATTCCATCATCCCCAGTCTAATCACAACATAATCCAATCAGCTATCCAACCAGCTCTTCCAATTTAACTAGCCTTCCTTGTTCTAGTAAGTGGCATCCTTTTCAGTGTTATCAGCCCACAAAACAGTGGTGTTTTGCCTGAATTTTTTTCTCTGAGATTTCTTATAAGAAAATAGAAAAGGGAAAGAGGACTGCTGACCCTGAACAAATCTGAAATCATATTTTAAAAATAAAAAAACTTGTAAGCTCAAACAAATGGCTTCCTTCCACAGCCAGAGTTACAGAGACTAGAGCTCAGGTCTGCAGCAAGTATTGATTTGAAACAGTCTTACAAAAGCCACTAGCAAGGACCAGAGAGAGCAAGCCTGTCCTTTGCCCCAGAAAGCAGCCCCAAAGGAATGAGAGACCTAGGAATAAAAGACACACCTGTTAAGAGGAGAAACATGCCTACTCCTATCATAAGTTGGTGTATGAAATCAGAGGAGACTTCCTAGAGATTATGAATCCACTTGGAGTCACCTTACAAAATTATTGGGAATTTTTGAGTTACTGGTTCTGAACAAATTCTCTGCAAATTTGTCAGAAACCAAGAGCAGATCCAGGTTTTGTGGGGTCTGAAGATAATATAAATTTCAGGGACTTCTTAGGAATGGAAATATTTCCCTGGGAAAGCTGCCAGGGTGGGAGGGAAAGTAGTAGAGTAAAGACAGCACCGCTGTCAGGGCACAAAACACCATTGGTATTGGGGTCTGCACAGAGCCATGGGGAGATGAAAGTCAGGCCAAGGAAATGGAGTGAGGGGGAGCTCCCAGGAGGAGGGAACCCCATTCCTTTTAGAGGGTTAGGAAGATTAAATCTTCCTAACCCTGCAGTCTCCCCAATAGGACTTCAAAAGATCAGCTTGCCTGCCACAGCATAAAATAGTAACACCCCCTATACTTACTGTGGTCCCCAAGCATCTGTCTTTCCTTATTGGAGGTCCATTCAGATAAAAGGAAGCTGGGGCTGGGGCCCATTCCTCTACTACTACTGCCCTCAGGGGGGGTGCCAGTTTGGCTTCTTTGAGTAAATATAATCCCTTCTTCCTTTGGGTTTAGGGTTTGGGGCAAAAATTGCAAAGGAAGGACTTGTTCTCTGTGACCCCTGCTGGTTGGTGGCTTTTGTAAGAGTGCATCAAACCAATGTTTGCTGCAGACATGAATACTAATGGCAGGGATCCTTGAAGTGAGCAGTAAGTGACCTCTGCCTTAGCTGGACCCTCATGCACCAAAGAATCTGCAAAAAGTGGGATAAGGAGGATCAATACACTCTTCTCCTTTTCCAACTTTAACATCAGAGGACAGATGGAGGGTCACAGCTGGTGTGACTATCTCCAGGGCTTTGTAGGACTTATGTAATAAATGTGGGGGAGGAGTTGATGACAATGTGGCTTATTCTTAGGGAGTATGAAAAATGCAATTTATTTAGACTCTAAAGAACAACATCTCCCTCTTCCTATTCCAGATGTACCTAATGAACCCTTAGAGTTTGGGGATAGGTTGTTATAAAGGAGCAGCATTGTCCAAAAATGGCCCTAGATATTTCCCCAGCTGGATGGAAAATGCTCAAGTTCAGATTCCTATGGTAACAGTGGCTTCCTTCCCATGGCTGGGGACCTCAACTATCCAAAGGAACTTGAGGTCCCCAGCTGCCTCCTAAAGCAGAGGGCTGCTGGTCTTCCCAGACAGCTCCTGTATATGGTTGGCATGACTTTTTGGCTTCTTGATTCCCCAAGTCTGTATGTCCCTTTCCTGATAACGTTGCTGTCATCAAAGCCCTATATGAAGGAAGAGCAATGGGGGAATGGGCCCCTCCCTTAGAACAAAGCCCAAGACACACCCAGGATCCCTCCCGAAAAAGAAATACCTCTCTGTGGAATTCTGAAGAAATAGGAAGACTGTGTGCCTTGTTTTGACACACTTTTATAGGTGTATCAAGTCCTTAACTCATTCTATATAACTTTGTGGTATTTATCCCCATACTTTGCACAACTATTGCCAACTCCATAAGGACCAATGACAGAATTATTTCCCATAGAGAAGGAGCATTTAAATAGTAAGCTTCCAGCAGGGTTAGGGTTTTTCCAGGCAGGTATATTTCAGGGAGACAGAAACAGGGGTACTGATGACTAGATGGAGGGACAAAGGAGTGATTATAAGCCTGGATAATTAAATTTATCCTGGGTAAAAAGGAAATGAGAACATGAGGGTAGAGATGGAGAATGAAAGAGTATTTGATTTGTGGTCTGAATTTCTCCACTAGGTCAAATAATTCTGTTAGAACACTGGGAAATGTAAGCTAGAAAGAGAATGGGATGCTTGAAACAGATTTTTTAACTATCTTATTGATGTCTTCATATTTTCCTTTTACTTTATGCTATTCAATTTTAAACTGCCCTCCTCTTGCACCATTATTTCTCCCATATTTCCCTTCCATCTTGGTCCTTAAATTCCATCCTTTCTCAAGTACAGCAACTCGATCCCATATCTTCCCTTACTGACCCAACAAAGCACCATCTCTTCTTCCACCTCTTGTAGTTCTTGTTTAGCACTTATAATTTATACCTTATATAATATGAACAGCAAGAGTCACCTTTACTTAACACTTCACTTTGCCAGACCCTTTTATTACGCACTTTCTATACAATATCTCATTGAA